AGAACTGGCTTGTTCAAATTTGCTATCACACTGAAGCATACATTCAGGTGCTGTTTTTCTTAAGATCTGCATTTCATTTTTTTATTAGTATGGATTTGCAATACATAATGGTAATATTTATGTGGGAAGGTTGTATATGCACACATTTTTTCATGTACTTTTCTTGCCATCCCTCCCTGTTCCCTTCTGATTTTCTTGAAGTTGATAATTTGGAGCGGCTGGGGAAATAGCCTAGTGCTTGCCTGGCAAGTGTAAGGTCCTGAATTCAATCTCCAGTACTGAAAAAGAAAAAGAAAGAAAAAAAAAAAAAGAACTACAAGTAACAAAGTTTTGTGTGCCTACCAGTTAGTTCAGTTGTTTTGAGCGCCTGCTCATGCAAATGCAGTCAGGCACAGGACACTGCAGTTCGATCCCCACCTCCACCTGCATTACCAGATACACCTTTAAGGCAGCCTGAACCATCGCCAAAAAAAATAAACTTTAGAGACTTATCCAATGATTTGCTAACAGATTCTTCCATTGCAGTATTAATAAATCAACACCTCCCACGTGCTTTTACTCTTTCCACACAAAGCTCTCTTTCTGGTCAAATAACATCCAGCAAACACAATTTACACACATCCTCCTGTCCATTCTATTTCCTGTTTCCTCTGTAATCATCAAGCTGTAGATTACTAAAGCTCCCTAACTTACTCTGGATGATAGCTTATATAAAAAGGTAAATACTTTTGGATGACAGTATCTCAAACTTCCAAATCAATTGTACATTTCCCATCATGAAGTGAAAAAGGAAGAGAATGCAGTTAATGAGGGAATACATATATTAATGAGTTCAAAAGTAACATCTTAAAGATATGGACAAAATTCAAAAAATGTTTTGTGCTAATTTGAAAAGAACAGAATACTCCCTATAAAACATCTCTTTATCCATACACATCATTTGTTCTAGCACCCTCATCATACAGAATATGAAACTGAGGCCCAGAAAGGGAATATTAGAACCTGTGGATACATTTCTGTAGCTATTCTAGCTTGAAGTTTCCTAGAATTTTCCTAGTGGCCATAGTTAACCTAAAAAGTTCTTCAAAATACCATCGTGAAGAAATAAATTTAGGATAATACAGTGCAAATCATGATTGCCAGTGGGAGGGCATAAGCAGTATAGAGGGTGTGGCTGTTGTTCTTTAGACCACAGCTCCATCTCAAGACAGTCTCCTCTATCCATCTTAGGCAAAAGGTTTAACTGAAGGTTCCTAAATTTACGAAAAACTAAATTATAGGCAACATAAATGAAGCTATGAGGGGCTGCTACATGTATATCCATTCTCTTCCTCCACCCCAATCCTGGGGATGGAATCCAGAGCTTTTACATTGAGCTACATCCCCAGATCCGTTTGTGTATTTATAATTGCAACACTCTCTCCTCTGCCTCTTTAGAGTGCTAGGATTTCAAGTGTGTGCCACAATGCCAAGTTTTTTCTCCCTTGCTGTACCTGAATGGTACACAGCAGGAACTCAAATGAATTTGGTTGTTGCTGATATCAAAGTTTCAACTGATTTTGTTTTAAAGAAAGACTGCGCATGTTTCTTTTTCATCATTCATTGTTAAGCTTCCCCAAGAAACCCTTCTTTTTCAGATACTTTTGTCTACATAGCTATACAAATCCTGCCCATCTCCAGTACTCTGTTGTCTTACAAAGCTTCAAAAGTAACAATAAGAAACTTAATCTAGATGAGAATTGGACTCAGAGGTATACCAGTCTGACTTGACTCTTGGACACCAGAAAGGAAAAAAAAAAAAAAAAAGGTGGAACAGCCAGACAATAAAAAAGAAAAGTCAGTAAGCAGGAAGACTTCCACTATGGAGAAGGGAATAAGATCCCTCCCATTTCCTAAAGGATGGCCGGAGAAATCTGGTCCAATCTGTCAATAAAATCAGAATGTGAGCACTAAAGTTGGTAGGTGTCATGCTTCTGAGGCAGAGACTCATTTCCAGAGGATTCAAAGGCAAAAATTAAAATGAGTCAAGCAGAATAAGGCTAGATTGAACATAAAGTTGCCCACCACTTGTCCTATGAATTTTCCCTTCTAGTAACAGAAGTTCAGAAAATGGGCTGTTTCATCAGTCCCCTGGGATTTCCTACCTCTGTAGCTCTGGGATTAGTGAACCACAGAAGACTCCAGAATATACTTTTAAAATCAAGGAAGATGCTGGGATGTTCTTGCTCAGCTCAAGATCTTGTTTCCTCCCCCAGCCTTCCATGCACCTCCTCTTTGTTGGGCCTGGAGGATGACATCAGAATCCCAGTGGTGACATCACTGTCTCTATAGCAACACTGCAAGTTAGCCACAATTACAAATTGAAAGGAGGAGAGGCAAAGCTACACCCCAAAGCTCTGGTGTTTAGTCTGGAAGGAGTAAACTTGCTTTCTTCTACTTCTCTTTGGGTGTCTTTTCAGGTAGGGTTGTACAGGAAGAAAAATTTTGCCAATGAACTCAATTTAAAACAGCAGAGTAAATATATACTAACAAATCCAGATAGGTGCAGAGGAAACTATGAAACAAAACTGAAGCTCTCCTAAATTTCTTTGGAGAAAAGCCCATGGAATCATTTCATTTTTGGGATACAGCCCATGGAATCATTTCATTTTTGGGATACAGCCTGGATTTCTTGTAAATATTTTATCTATAAGAAGAAGAAAAAAACCCTGAAAACAACAACAAAAACCTTTTGGGATATACTTCCTAAACTGATTAACTCTGGGTTATAATTTATCTTTGATGGTCTCAAATTAAGCAGTGCTAATTTATTCTTTGCAACACTTAATACAAGGACCAAGAAGCATTTGGTTCGTGAATCCTTGTAGAAGGAGGAAGACTTTTCAATACACTCTCTTTGAAAATGTTGCCATAGACACTCTTTTATGAAACATAGTTTGCATGAAGCAAAAAATTTCCAAGGAAAAGACAAAATATACATTAACATTACAACATTCAAAAAATGACTAGTTTGGGGTCGGGGAGATGGCTCAGTAGGATAAGCGCTTCACTGGCAAACGCAAGGATCCGAGTTCAATCCTGGGTTCTGCAAAAAAAAAAAAAAAAAAAAAGACAAAAAAAAGACTAGTTTATTACAGGCTTCAATGAAGTTGTTTTAGATTAGGTCTCAATTTCTTTCTTAATGCACACTGGGCTTGTTGGTTTCTTAAGATTCTTTCCACCTTTGTTATTCAATAGTTTGGACTCTTCAGTGCTTATGTCAGTCAGATGATACATCTGCACATTGCACTTTGCTGCTGACAAAGCTCCTGCACATCCAGTATATCATCTGATTCTCACAATAACCTTTCAAGACAACAGGGCAGATATATTTTTCCTGTTAGATGTAGAAGCTGGTTGAGGTCACAACTAACAACTGGAAGAAGTGGCACTGGAGGATCTACTATTCTTAAAAATCAATGCTTTTTCAACTATATGGATACTTTGAAACTATAATTGAGAACGTGAGGCAACTGTTTGACTAAGAGATGTTACATGATGGTTGAACAGCAGTTAGGAGGTTGTGGATGTCAGTGTAGGGCGTGTTAATTTACCAGATCCAGGAAAATGTCAATATATTAGTCGAGTATTAACAAATAATGAGCACAAAGTGAACATAGAATGGGGGGAAAAGAGAGAAATAATATAGCATTACAAAGTTTCTCTGACAAAATTCAAAGGTATTCCAGTTGAATTTGGGTTACACTTTAGAAAGCAGTAGGGTGGGACAGAACGAAAATGGGATCTGAAATGCCTAGTAATAGGCAACCCCCACTCAGTATATAGGCTTGCCGTCTGTCCCAGCATTACACACAAGTCACTGAAGGAATTATGAAATCTAGAAAGATTCATGCAAACTAGGTTGTTTTCCTATAAGTCCACAGTGTATGTCTGACAGAATCATTCACTGTCTTCTCAGAGATTTCAAGAGGAAAGTATATTTTGGGGACAGGCTCTTGCTAGGCAGTCCAGGCTGGCCTCTTAGATCCTGGCAATTCTGCCTCAGTCACCTGAAGGTTGGGATTGCAGGCATGTATTACCATGCTTGGCAGAATAAAGTATTTTAAAATGCAAGTTTATAGTCTTATTTTTCTGGAGTCTCCTCAGCCTCCCACCTGTCTTTCTAGAATAGAGATTCTCAGAGGGATCTAGTTTAAATTTTAAAAAATCACAAACCGTCACACTACAGAGGGCCACGGGCAGCTTCCTGATGGAAAAATGTGCCGATAATATATAGGGCTATTGAATTTTACGTAACACTTTAGGGGTCTGAGATCTCGTGAAGCCCATTCAGGAATCCCACTCCAGGTTAAAACCTCCTGGATCCATCCATAGGTGGTAAGTAGTTTGTTTCAAAAAAAAAAAAAAACCCAAAACACAGTAAGTGGAATTATCATCACTCGGGTAAAGTAGTCAGAAAAGCAAAGAAGTCACCAAGCGCAAAGACTGTGCCATCCACGGGGAGCGACACCCAAGCACTGGGCCCGGACGATAGAATGCCTCGCAGGACTCGGGATGCGTCCGTTCGGGGCGCATCTTCATGCCCAGTATTGCTTTTACACCTTTTCTCCTGGACTTTATCGAGCTCAGGGCCACACCTCCTCCACATCCTCCCGCTCACCGAGGCAGCCAGTTCTGGTCCTTGTCAGGGAACACAGAACCAAGAGCAAAATTGAGCTTCTCCACCACGGGTTCTGCCATTTTGCATTCCCGTGAGTCAGTCCGCGGTCGGCTCTAAATTTCAGGTTCCTCAGCAATATGCCTTTATCTTTATGGTCCATTCCAGAGCTAAAACTCTAAAATTGTTTTTCTTCCTTTCTTCCTTTCTCTCCCCTCCCGCCCCTCCCTGCGCCTTCCCAGCTTCCTTGCTAACGGCATTCCCGCCCAACCTATAACCCAACTCTCACTTCCGGGTTAGCGCCGGCGCAGACAGGCGTGGGAAAGGATATTTGGCCCAAATGAGTAGCCGTAATCGGCCGGACTGCTTGCCGAGGGGGATTGTGGGAGAAGATGGCGGCTCTCGCTAATTCCCGGTTTGCTCGGGCTCTGCCAATGTCACGTAAGTGTCAAAGGGAACTGCCGCCCCTGATCGAGAATCTGAGGCAGGAATCGAAGGTTTCGCGAGTGCAGTCCCGCCAGCTCATTGAGCAGTCGGGTTTGTCTGTGTTCGGAGTTGCCTCTGCCCAGTTTTTCCTTTTCCACATCCCCGGTTTACCTGTTAATTTGTGCACTTGGGAAACAGGACGACCTAAGTAGCGGGAAGGGACGAGGGAAGAGGAGAAAGTAGGGACCCTTAAAGGATGGGACGTAATCAGAGTTTGTTAGGATTGTAAGGTCTTGGGTGATGAGGAATATTTGAGTGGAATCAGGGAGGTACCTGAAAGGGAGAGAGGAAAAAATGGGTAGCGGAGAAATTTCTTCTGGGTTACAGACTTTTGTGCAAACCACTAAACCGTCTCAACTTCAGATTCATATAACAGTGGCAGTAATAATACCACAATATCAGGAAATCTCTGAGAAGATTAAGTGAAGTACAGTTTATGAAAGCCTTCCTTACCAAAAGCGTCTCTGCAGACGTAGAATGTGTTTGTCTGGCGGCCCGGGGCCTGGGGCCTGGCGGAGACAGGGAGTTTTGTGGAAAGAAACGGAAACCTGTTGGAAAGAAAAGTGCAGAAGAGTAAATTATATTCGAACTTGTCAGCATTGTTTGTTTTGTGTGCTGGCTGAATCTGTTCTTAGTCCTCATATGGAAAACATACATTTGCTTTTTCAGTCACTAAAGAACAAGAGAAGGTAGGAAATTAAAAGGGCAGTACACTTCACCATCCGTTCACCTTATACTTCACCAGTATGCAGCATGCGACCCTCAAAAATTGATTTTTCCGTTGTGTATTTTAGTCATTACAATATAATCATTTGCTTTCAAACTTGGCTGTCAGTCCCTTTTAGAGCTTTATGAAGGATGAAGTTGGGACTCTTAGAAATTTCACATCCACATTTTTGAGATAAGCCTCTTGTACCTTAAAATTTTAAACCACAATACGGTAGTTCTGAAGTTGAGCTGAGGAGAGAGTCAAGAGGGTTTTGTTTATCTTCCTGGTTAAGACTACACAGCATTGGGAAGAAAGGTGGTGCACATCATTTATAGTGGACGGTTTTGTAGTCATGACTTCTTCGCACAGCCATTTATTTGCTGGGTTTTGCTGAGCTATTACATTAGAGAGACATTGTACATTGTAAGTTACAGTTTATTTTTTGAATACCTACTGTATATAACCACAATTCTGGATATTTACATTACTTTTTTCCCATCTTCAGCTTATTTTTATTTAACAGACATTGTAGTTTGTGCTTGTGAGCACACAGCTTCTTGTCCCTGGTAAAATAAACTCTTGAGTAAACTCCGGACATGCTAGTAACATAATACAAGAGTCCTACAGAACTATGTGAAACTATTTTATGTGCTTACATGTGGCGAAACTCTAAGTACACTACTGAATGAAAAAAGGAGAAGATTATTGTCATTTGAGATAGTGGGGGAAGATTGGAAGATGAATGGAGAAGTGGTGCCTCTGTATCAGTCTGTTTAGTGTTTCTTGGATCTTGAAAGTCAGGTGTTAGGCATTTTCCACTGGCAAAGACGTGATGGTGGAATGACTCCGAAGATGCTCGTAGAAGGAGTGAAATGACTGCAGATATCTGGGATAACAGGAAAGAAAAAAGTTGGATGTGTTACATGAGATCAGACAAGGGAAACCTGTGAAAGCCAAGCAGAACTTAGAACAGTGATCTCCACAGTGAATTTTGCAAGATGAATCAACGAGATAAAAAAAGCATGATAACTTAATTTTTTTCTGTAATATCAAAAGCTAATGTTTACATAGCTAAAACTATATGACAGGCACTGTTGTGGCTGCTTTAAAATATGTACTGTATTGATATAAATAACATCTACAGTTTTAAATAGCTTTTAAAATGCTGCGTGGAAACAAATATATTTGGACTGTTGGTTTGATATTATAGTGGGAAATTAAGTTTTTGAGCAAGGAATATAGTGAATGTATAATGAATATTACACTCCTATGTATTAAATGGAAATAATGGAGAAACTAAAGCCAAAGAGAATTTATATTAATCTCCTATGCTATGCAAGACATTGTGATGGAAGTTTCCCTGTATTACATATTAATTCTTATCCCAACTCCCTAGATTGTGAGTTCTACCCACCAGTGACATTTTTTCTGTGAAATTTAGTTTCTAGAATAGTGCTTGGCATATAACTGTTGAGAAAACAAGTAACTATATCAGATTAGTTACCTTCTGAGGAATTTCAAAGCAATACTACATGAAAGCTACTCATTTGTGCAGTAATACCTAGCTTGCTTTGTGATAGGCAATATGCCAAATGCTTTATGTACATTTACTCTTATCCTTGTAACAGTCCTTTGAGATGTTATTTCCTTGTCCCAGGTAATCCTTTCTGTTTCATTTGCCCCTCCATTTCTCCCAACATGTGTCCTATTATCTTTATTGCCTGCCTCACTGACCATTTATTCATTCCCTTTCAAATATTTTTTAGCTCCACATCCCATTTCCGTTGGTCAGAAAAAGCAATGATCCCAATTACACCAACCTCCAGAGCAACAGTGAAGCTAGAGAAAGCTCTGAACTAACTGGTCTTATTTTAATCTCAAGTAAATTTCAAGCACTATAATTTTTTCCAGGAATTTTGCTTTTGAGACTCTATAATGATTACCTGACTTTGCTATTCACCTAAAACTTCTCATATGTATGTTTGTCTCATTTTCAGCTTTGAGGAGAAATCAGTTAAGAACAGTCTCTTCCCACCTAAAATCTAAAAGTTGGCGTGTGCTAGTTCTCTGCCTTCCATCTTGTCCCAGCGGATGAGTGCCTTCTGCTGTGACCTAAAGCCAGCTCCTTCACCTTGTATTCTGTTCTGTTTTCTCTCTCTAAAATTCTGGTCTAGGAAGTGAGAAGAGACTAGCAAATTAGACTGTGTGTTAAGGAGATTTAGAGGGAGGAGTAGTTGGTAGAACTGGAGATGTTAACCTGCAGAAGAAATAGTCATTGGGGCTATAATTACTGTACTTAGATAAGTACAACATTTAGATCCTTTCTTCTGGTGGTAAGACCTTTCAGCTACAAAGATGGCCCCTGTCAGATTGAGGCTGCTACAAGAAATAAGTATTTTTCATCTCACAGGGGTTGAGGCTAAGGATAGGACTTGTGTTTGCACATGTACTACAGAGACGGTACATTGATGCACAGACTTTGAAGTTTTCTTGTAGGGATGTGAGTCCATGAGACAAAGTGGGAGATTTGACAGGTCAGTTTCTATATACCTTTCTCAAAGTCAGAAAATTTTTTCTCAAGTACTTTCTCCTCATGGTACTTTCTCCTCATAATATCTTTCAGTTAGTTTTTTTTTTTTTTTTTTATGGGCTCAGCCCACTGAGGGCAGGGCTGGCGGGACATGTGGTGCTGGGGATCCCTTCACCTGCCTAGGCTTGCCTAAGCAGGCACTTGAGACCAGTGAGCTGTCTCACTGGCCTGTCTTTCAGTTAAGTCATTTGTTTTTGGTAGAACTGGGGATTGAACTCAGACCCTTGGCGCTTGCCAGGGAAGCACTTATTCTACTAAGCCATCTAACTGGCCCTCAGTTAAGTCTTATCTGTTCTTTATTTTTCCTTAATTTATTTTGATATGGAGTCTCGCTAAGCAATTGAGACTCCTGTCTGAGCCTTCCCAGCTCTGGGATTACAGGCACGCACCACCACACAAGGTTTTGGCCTGGCATGGCATGCGGTTCCAGGGATTGAACTAAGGTTCTTACGCTAGCCAGGCAGGTGCTTAGGCCACTGAGTTATCTCCCTAGCCCTGATCTGTACTTTTAAATGCTTTGTATCAACAATTCTCTGCCTCTAACCTATACCACAACTTTATTTTTCATGAGTCATCCATTTCAGAATCTGTTCGTTTAGGTCTTTTGCTGTTACCCTTCATTAGTCTTACTCCTCTTTAGCTCTGTTGTGTTTAGTGTTTCTAAGGGATTCTACTATTCCTATTATTCCTCTTGAAAACCTTCTAAGAACACATTACCCAAGAATCCTTTCTCATGATAATATGACTTAATGTCATTTATTTTTCTAGATATATTATATCCCATGGAGGTATGGAGCTTACTTTCTAATTTTTATATATTTTCTGATGGTCTAGGAGTTTTCTTTTGTAATACTTTTAAGTTTATCAGTGTTGCTACTTCTCTTATTAGGATACTGATCACAAAATAATGTTACAAATTTTCAGGGAAAGAAGTTATGTCTACTTGCTTTCTACTGACATTTGCCATTTTTGTGTGTTTTGGGGTTTTGTTTAAGGTTCTGTCATTGCTGCGGCGGCCACGTCTGCATTTCACGGCCCACCTTACTGCCAGCTCCACCATGCAGTCCTCCCTCATGGCAAAGGTGGGCGTTCCTCTGTCAGTGGGGTTGTGGCCACTGTGTTCGGAGCAACAGGATTCCTGGGCCGATACGTTGTCAACCACCTTGGTGAGTAACATTCTCAAGTTTAGTGCGCTTTCCTGCCTTTCCTCAGCATTGTCCAGTGAGAGGCCATGAGCTAGGTTCTTGTTTTAGCAGTGGGCAACTCTGTCTTGACGTTCCATGATTTTTATGTGCTATTGGATTTAGAATACATTAAGATGGGAGTAAGGGAGCCTGGAAAGTTATGGCATCTTTAACATTGCAGAATACACTTTTTTGTTAAATCTACTATCCACCCACATGTCATGCCAGAATTTAAATCTATACTGTATCATTATTGTATAATGTGTCGTTCTATAGATGTTGATTCTTATTTCAATCTCATGTTTTAGGACGGATGGGTTCACAGGTGATTTTACCCTATCGATGCGATACTTATGACACCATGCATCTTCGGCCCATGGGTGATCTAGGCCAGATTATCTTTCTGGTAAGACCTTGATGACTGATAATTGGAGTTAGCAAATGTAGATTACTCAGGTCATTTTAGGAGAAAGGGCAGTAAAATAAAGCAGCAATTTTATCCTAGAATTAGTCCAGGGCAGCCTCTTCTTTTGGATGGAGATTCTTTTAGTTAAATTAAGTTCCTGTATCTCTTGACTTGATATGCAAACTCTAGATCAGTGCTGACAAACTTTTTTTTCTCTCTCTCTCTCTTTCTTTTCTTGGTGTTTTGAGACAGGGTCTCACTATGTCATTCAGGCTGGCCTTGAACGTACTGTGTAGTCCAGGCTAGCCTGGAACTCAGTGCTTCCTGCCCCAGTCTCCCAAGTGCGGGATTATAGGCGTGTGCCTCTGTACCCAGCTAACAATTGGCAAACTTTCTGTAAGGGACCCGATAGTAAAAGCTAGGTTCTGCAGGTTGTAAAGCATTTGTCATAATCACTAGGCTCTTTCCTTATAGCCCACAAATAGCCATAGACGGTATATGAACCAGTGAGTGTGCCTATATCTTAACTTTATAAGAATTAAGCTATGGGCCACTTTTTTTTTTTTTTTTCTTGAGACAGGGTCTTGCTATGTATCCTAGGCTGGCCTCAAACTTGGAGTGATTCTCTGCCTCCCAAGGGCTGGGATTACATGTGTGTGCCATGATACTTGGCTGTAGGCTTGAAGGCTATGGCTTGCTAAACCCTGCTGTAGTCTAATGCTGTGCAGTGTGGTCACCACTAGCCACATGTAGCTGCTAACCACATGAAAATCACTTGGAATATTCCTAGTCTAAATCAAGATACATACTCTGTGTCTAAAATAGCAGATTTCAAAGACTTAATTTGAAGAAAATAATATTAAAATATGATTAATAATTTTTATAGTTACATATTGAAATAATGCTTTAGATATTTCAAGTTAAGGGAAATGTATTATTAAAGTAGGTTTCTTTTTATTCTTACAGATGCACCTAATAGAAAATTCAGAAAGTAAAAGATTCAAAAAGTAGTAAACTCAGAATTATATATATGTCGTGTGTTATGTTTCTATTCAACAGTACTTCATAGGCAGAAAAAAGTATAAGCGGGATACTTTATAAGTTAGTTTGCTTGTCACATATTTAACATAGACGTGCTTTATAAGCGTTTCCTGTTGTCACTCTATAATGTACAGCTTTTCCCTTTAGGCCAGTGGTGCTAAAATGCAAGGTGGGAGGACGAAGAACAGAGAGAGCCTTTCAAGGAGTGACTAGGAATATGTAGGATTCCTTTTGGGGGCAGCAATTGGAGAGCCAGATTGGTCTGTCAGGTAGAGGCTAAGGAGGCCAAGTACCTGACTGCAGTGGTGGCGGGTGGGCGTGGCCTGTGTGTGCTGCAGTGAGCATGCAGAGCCCCTCTGTTAGACCCGAGCGTCAGGCACAGTGCCCAGAGGTGCGTGTGCGTGCTTGGAATGGAGCCGGGGTGCTGAGCAATGATCTCATGAGCTGTGTAGGAGCTCTGCCTCTAAAAGGTTTGCAGACACTGCCCTGTTGCATTCAGGGCAGACCCTTTTCTCGCAGAGCTGTGCTGTGTGAGCCATTCTGTTGGCTGATGCAGACTTCTCAGCTAGATGCCTGGCTTCACTGTGCCTTTAGCTACTTCCTACTCCTGCCATCCTCCATGGAACTAAACTCTTATTTAGTTGCTTTTTGTTTTTGGAAGGGTCTATAGGGTGTTCAGGGTCTCACTACTAGATCGGAATCATAGTGATACGCTTGTTTACAGCCTCCCAAGAGCTGGAATTACAAGCACACACCACCACTATGCCCAGTCTCTGTTGCCGTCTCAGCCCGCCCTGGGGGCCAGCATGGCAGGCCTGGGATCAAACCCTAGGCAAGCAGGCATAGACGCTTTTCTTTTGAGAATGTTGGGCAAACATCCTTAATATCTCTGCCATTGGGGAGATGGCTCAGTAGAATAAGCGCTTGCCTGGGAAGCACAAGGGCCCGAGTTCAAATCCTAGTTCCACCAGAGAAACAAAATAAAATAAAGTATCTCTGACATTGTGTTCCTTTTCTATGCTGGATGCTCAAAAGCTAACCATAATACTTACATTAAAATTTCTTGTTTCTAACAAGAAAAACAGTTTGTTTCAAATTTCCTGGTTGTTTTTTCTAAAATTTTCTTATCTGTTATTATTGTTGCAAGAGCTTGACTTTCCCCTGCTTCTTTGTGGCTTACTTCTTGGTGACTTTAGTGCTAGATTAAACCCTTGGCTAGCTTGTAAATGTGGGGTCACTGACACTGAGCCACAGAATATTTATTCTCTTATTCTTAGACTTATTTATTTACTGAGCACAGGCCTTGAGCTTATCACACAGTTCATTGTTTAGTTGTTAATTTATGTGGTTATTTCTGAAAAGAAAGGCCTATTTTGGGGCTGGGGTGTGATTTCCCTACTTCAATCCCTGTTTGAATTGTTGTCTAAACCACTTGGCCTATTGTGCCCTCTGGGCCTCATCCCTGAGAATCTGGTTTAGGGGCTT